TGTTTTCTAATAGATTCCTGTTGTTTATTATTTATTTTCTTCTACTTTTTGTTTGTTTTGTTCTTCTTTTTCTAGATTCTTGAGATGGGAACTTAGATTATTGATTTGGATTTGAGACCTTTTCTTTTTTCTAGTATGTGTGTAATACCATAAATTTCCTTCTCAACACTGCTTTAGTTATGTCTCACAAATTTTGATAGGTTCTTTTTTATTTTCATTTATTTAATTGCATTTTAAATTTCTCCTTGACAAATTCTCTTTGATCTATGCATTATTTAGAAGTATGTTGTTTAGTTTCCAAGAGTTTGGAGATTTTCCTGTTGTCTTTCTGTTATTGATCTCTGGCTTGATTTCATTGTAGTCAGAGAATCCATTTTATGTGTTTCAACCTTTAAAATTTGTTGAGGCTTATTTAGTGTCCCAGGATATGGTGTATCTTGGCATATGTTCTGTGGACACTTGAAAGGAATGGGTTATTCTGCTGTTGTTGGGTAGGGTGTTCTGTAAATCTCGATTAGATCCTGTTGACGATGTTGAGTTCTTTTATACCTTGGCTGATATTTTGTCTAGTTCTTTAAATTTTTGAGAGAGAAATGTTCAAATCTCCAATGAGAATTATGAATTTGTCTATTTCTGCTTTTTGTTTTTATCCTCTTTTGCTTTATAGATTTCACATTTCTGTTGTTTGGCACATCTATATTTAGGATTGCTTTGTCTTGATGGATTGATCCTTTATCATTATGTAATTGTCCCTTTTTTCTCCAGTTATCATCTGTGCTCTAAACTCTACTTTATTGGATATTAATATAGCCACCCTTCTTTCCTTTTATTAATGTTAACATGATATATCCTTTTCCATCTTTTTTACTTTCAACTACCTATAACCAATCATATGTCAAGTGAGTTTTTTGTGACAGCATCTACTTGGGTCATGTCCATAATCTATTCTGCTAATGTCTATCTTTCGATTGGTGTTTTTAGACCATATACATTTAATGTAATTATTGTTATGTTAGAGCTCATGTTTGCCCTTTTATCTTGTTTTCTGTTCTTTCTGTTTTTTATTTTTCTGTTTTCTTTTTTCTGCCTTCCTGTGCATTCTTAAACATTTTTAGAATCCCATTTGAATTTACCAACAGTATTTTTGAGCATAGTTTTCCTAATAGATACTCTAGGTGTTACACCATCCATACATAATTTATTGTAGTCTATTGATGTTATTTTACCAGTTTGAGTGAAGTATAAAGACTTAACTTTCTTTACTTCTCTTTACATTCCTCTGTATATAATTGCCTTAAATATTTCCTCTACATATATTTATAATACTTTGGGATTATTACAGTTCTGCTTCAACTGTCAGTCACAGTCTGGAAGACTCAAAAGGAAAAGGAAAACCTATTGTATTTACCCATATTTTTGATAACTGTGTTGTGGGGTGGTTTTTGTAATACTACTTCTGACACCAAATGTGTCACAACTGGGTGCTCTAGAATTCAATTAAATTCTGACACTAACTACCTGGAGCTATTGTCATATTCCATAGGTTTAAGGGCTTAGTCCTACTGTAAGATTGTTCCCACTCTATATACCAGATGCAGATAGGGTGCCCAGGCTACCCACATTTCTGTCCCACCAAACACAAATTTGAAGGTCCTTATACTATCCCATGAGGTTCAGTAATTCACTAGAACAACTCCTAGAACTGAGGGAAATATTTTGCTTATATTTACTGGGTTATAATAAAGGATACAACTCAGGAACAGCCAAAGGAAGAGATTTCATTAAGCAAGTTATTGGTGGTGGAAGTGGTGTGCCACAGAGCTCTCATACCCTCTTTGGGCATGCCACTTTCCCAACAATGTACCCACTCAATGTATTCACTAACCTGGAAGCTGTCTAATCTAAACCTTGTTGTTTAGAGGTTTTCATGGAGGCTTTGTTAGGTGGGCATGATTGATTAAATCATTGGTAATTGGTGACAGGGCTCAGTCTCCAGTCCCTGTCCTCTCACTATAGGTCAGGGAGCTGTAGTGAAGGCTCCAGCCCTGTAGTCATAGTTAGGTCTTTCTGGTGACCAGCTCCCATCCTGAACCTACCTAGCTTCTCTTCCCCATCCCTACAGCCTGAAGCCATCTCATTAACATACAGTTTTTGTTTTAACTTTTTTGATGTTTATTTATGTTTGAGAGAGAGAGAGAGAGAGAGGCAGAAAGAGAAGGAGACACAGAATCCGAAGGCTCTGAGCTGTCCACACAGAGCCTGACATGGGGCTTAAACTCATGGACTGCAAGATCATGACCTAAGCTGAAGTCGGATGCTCAACCTACTGAGCCACCCAGGTACCCCAACATACAATTCTTAATGCTTAGAAGATCCTAGGGATTTGGGGAGCTCCCTGCCATTGAAACGGCTGAAGCTGGGAAAAAGAACACATATTTATTTTTTATTTTTTTTACAAATAGTTTATTGTCAAATTAGTTTCCACATAACATTCAGTGCTCTTCCCCACAAGTGTCACATATTTATTTTTTAGTTATATCACATGTGTTCTTTCTTCCTCCCTGATATACCAAATATCTTTTTTTTTTTTTTTTTTTAAATCATTTCCTTCTTGTTTAGGAAATTTCTTTAGCAGCCATTCTTTTAGAGTGTTTCTGCTAGGGACAAATTATAGTTTTTCTTCATTTGAGAATGTCTTGATCTTCCCTTCATTTCTGAAGGATATTTTTGCTGGGTATAGGTTCTGGGTGGACAGCTCTTCTCTTTCAGGACCTGATAAATATTGTGCAACTTCCTCTGGCCTCCATGGTTTCAGTTAAGAAATCCTTTTTTTTTTTTTTTTAACTTACAGGTAAGGTATTTTCTCTGGCTGCTTTCATGATTTTTTCATCCTTCAGAGATTATTATTCATCTTGGTATGAATTTCTTTGGGTTTATTCTGTTTGAGTTTTGTTTTGATTTTTGAATCTGTTGGGTATATGTCCCTTGCCAAATTGGAGAAGCTTTCAGCTGATATCTCTTAAGAGTACTTTTTTCAGCCATGCTATCTTTTTCCTTTCTTTCTGAGATTGTGTTAATAGAAATACTAGATCTTCTGTTAGAGTTCCACTTGTCACTGAGGCTTTGTATACTTTTTCCTCAGTTTATTTTCTCTCTCTATCAGATTAGTCTGTTTCTATCATTCTTGTCTTTCAGTTCACAGACTTTCCTCTGCCCCTCTTATTCTGCTGTTGAATTTACCCATTTTGGTTTATTATATTTTTCAGTTCAAAAATTTCATTGAAATTTCTTTTATATCTTCTGTTTCTTTTTTGAGGCTGTTTTTTCATTTGTTTTAAGCTTGTTTGTAATTGCCTATTGAAGCATTTTTATCATAGCTGTTTTAAAATCTTTAAGTAGGTAATTCTAACATCTCTAGTATCTTGATGTTGGCATCTATTGATTATCTTTTTTCTTTCAGGTTGAAATATCCCGGTTTTTAGTATGATGAGTAATTTTTCTATTGAAACTTACACATTTCCTTACAATGTTATGAGATTCTGGATCTTTAAACCTTCTGTTTTAGCAAGTCTTTTCTGACATGGCTTTGGGAGTGAAAGGATGGGAAGCCCAGGTTTTCTACTGAGCCCTGTTGACACACGGGACAAGGGGGTCCTTCTTTTTTACTGCTCAGGGTGGAAGTTCCAATGGAGTCCATCTGGTCTCCCTGGACACTGCAATGGAGGTGAAAGTTCAGACTCCCACTAGCCATTTTCTGACACTTTTCCATTGGAATGGATAGGGGTAACTTAGTACTGCAAAGTAAGAGTACAAGTCCAGTCTTCCCAGTAGTCCATTGACACCATGGAGTGGAGGGCTCATTACCATCTGGCAGGAAGGAAAGTCCTGGCTTCCTTTTTGGCCTTCTCTGACATCACCCTGGTAGGGGTGTTGGAATACCATGTTACTGTCTCACGAGGTTGGAAGCTAACTCCCTACCTGGCCTTTGCTGGTGAGGTTGGGAATGGAGCTACAGTATTTTCTGTGATGTTTGGCTAGAGAGTGGTTATTGACTAAAGATCTTTTGTCTTGCTAGGATACTCTTTGTTTAGTCCTTTGGCTTGAAGGAGCAGGCTTTAATTAGGATTTTTTTTTCCCATTGGTGTTGCCAGCTTCTTTGAGTCTAAGTCTGGGAACTAAGAGGCAAAAAGAAATCCTAAATGAACTCATTATCATGTCTTTCCTCAGATCCCAAAGTCCCTAGTTTGTCAGCCTTTGTCTTTCCTTCTTTCAGACTCTTTTTATGTTTGTTTTATGTTTGTTTTATATGTGATATCTAGGGATTCTTGTGCTTAAAGGGAGAAATAAGGAAAAGTATGCCTACTCCATCTTCCTGGAAGTGAAAGTTGCCTTTTTTTTTTTTTTTTAAGGCTAACAGCTTTAACTTTTTATATCAAATCACTACTCTGAGTATTCTATCCTCATTATAGGATATTTAAGTTTATTTATTTTGAGAGAGAGAATGTGAGCAGGGGAGTGGCAGAGACAGAGGAAGAGAATCCCAGGTAGGCTCCATGCTGTCAGTGTGGAGCCCAATGTGGGACTCGGATCCATGAACCATGAGATCATGACCTGAGCTGAAATCATGAGTCAAATGCTTAACTGATTGAGCCAACAGGTGCCCCTATCCTATAATTCTGATACCAGGGAGACAGAAACAAGGATTCTAACCATCCTTGTTTGCTTGGAGATTAATTCATATTAGATAGGGCTTTGTGCTGCAGCCAGAGAAACATGCTATTAGGCAATAGCCCTTGGTTTCTAGTGTTACCCTGTTCCTTCTTCTGTCTACTTAGTATTAGTCTTGCTAGTCTCTTTGTGTAAGTTGGAGATTTGGCATTTAAAATTTTATTTTACTGCTCTGTCCACAGATTAAGGTAAGTAATTTAAAGATAAATTACTAACACTTAAATTTTACCTTAGAAAATACTTAAGAAATTTATAGTATTATTTTTTTATAGGTATTGAAGAAAAATTTAGGCCTTTTTATATAGATCAATTAGAAGAAAATGTAGACGAGGATGTGACAAGTTTAAAGGTAGGTAACAGCAGGTGCTCAAAACATTAACATATCAAAGCATATATATTACCATCTTGAAAACCAAACCAATATAACTTGTTACTAAGATTTGAGGTAGGCTAGCTTGATAATCACATGAAACAAAATTAGCAGTTTTATACAGATATCATCAAGTTGGCATAATGGACCCATTCCTCCATCGAAACTAATGAAATGAAGAAATTATATATAGCAATATGAAAACAAAAGCACAACATCACTGGAATAGAATGGAAAGTACCACAGGTGGATCAATCATTTTGAGGAAATCTTGAAAGATAGCCAACAGAATTAAATTTGCTAAGACATATAACAGGAAAAAAAAATGCTACCACTAAACATTATGCTGAAGAAGTACTAGAGGAACAAGCCTTGTGTCAATGTGTAGAAGAAACAGCATGGTCACTGGGGACGTCGATGATAGGACTGTCATTAGGGAACCATGGTTGTTGCAGTTACAAAAGTTGGTTCCTCCCCCTGATAACTTTGTGCTAAGCAACTGATGGGAGCAGCATCCGCCTCAACCTGAAACAGTGAATTTGGGGTCTGGGGCCTAAGGGGTATGACAAGGATTGTTACTGACTAAGTAACTAAGGGAAACAAAGGCCTTCCCTACACACACACACACACACACTCAGGAAATAAGCTGCTAGCATAAGTCTTACAGCAACATACTATAATCATGAAGGCAAGACTACATAAATAAAACAGGCAGGCATAAGAAGGTTTTAAGATAAAGATAAAAAATCAGAGAATCAAGAATTACCAGACTCTTGAGGGATACCTACACTATAAAAGGAGAGGTATCCAATGGAAACCATTCTTGGACATTAAAAGGACATCAGGAAGGGTAATCACTAAGGCAAAACATTACCACAACAATCAGGAAGATTTCCTAATGATAAAAAGTTCAGTTCACCAGGAAGATAATAACAGCTTTAAATATGTTTTTGCCCTTAATAACATGGCCTCAAAACATACAAAGTAAAACTTGGCAAAACTCCAAAGAGAAATAGACAAATTCACAATAGTTGGAGATTTTAATACAAATTTCTCTTTAATGGATAGAAAAAATGAACAAAAAAATCAATAAGGATATAGAAAATTTGAAGAACATGATTAATAGTTGACTGAACAGAAATATATAAGACACTGCATCTAATAACTGCAAAACACTTACCTTTAAATGCTTTTTGAGAACATATAGAACATACTTCAAAACTGACTGTGTCCTGGAAAATAAAATAATTCTCAACCAATTTAAAAGGATTTAATCATATAAAGAATTTTCTCTGGTTATATTTCAGCTATGCTAGAAATTAATCTTAAAAGAAAATCTCATGTGGTTAGAAGTTAAGAAATATATTTTTGAATACCGGTTGAATCAAACAAATCACAATGGAATTTAGAAAAATAAAAACTGACACCTAACAGAAACACTGCATATTAAAACAAAAGGCAAATATGATTAAGAAAAAAACCTAAAGGAAATACCAAACTGTTAATTTTTTCCTTGAATTGCAGGCACTATGTGTAGGTTTCTTTTTAAATATAGTTCTCTACATTTTCTATATTTTCTATAATGAATATTATTACTTTTATAGTGAAAAAGTTTCTTTTTCCTCTTTTGTTATTGTGGTAAAATATACACAACATAAAATTTACCATCTTACCCATTTTTAAGTGTACAATTTAGTGGCATTAAGTACATTCACAATATTGTACAACCGTCTCTAGTATCCATTTCCATTTTTTTTTTAAATCCCAAACAGAAACTCTGTACCCATTATACAAGAGCTCCCCATTCCTCCCTCTCCCCAGCCCCCTGGTAACTTTTAATTCCACCTGCTGTCTCCATGAATTTGCCTCTTCTAGGTACCTCATAGACCGGGGATCAGACAATATTTGTCTCTTTGGATCTAGCATATTTCACTTACATATAGTTTTCAAGGTTCATTCATTTTGTAGCATGTATTAAATGAACTTCATTCCTAAGGCTGAATAATACTCCTTTTCATGTGTATATCACATTTTGATTATTGATTCATCTGTGATGGATACTGACTTGTTTCCACTTTTAATCTGTGAATAATGCTGCTATGAACTTTGGTCTACAATTTTTTTTAGCGCTTCTTTCAATTCTTTTGAGTATATACATGTAAGAGAGGAATTGCTACATTGTATAATACTATGTTTAATTTTTGAGGAACCATCATATTGTTTTCCATAATGGCCATACCATTTTCACATTGCCACCAGCAATGCACGAGGGTTCCAATTTCTGTACCTTCTCACGAACACTTTTCATGTTTTAAAAATAATAGACATTCTAATGCGTGTGAAGTTATATATATCTCACAGTAGTTTTTTTTTTTTACGTTTATTTTTGAGAGAGAGACAGAGCGTGAGTGGGGGAAGGGCAGAGAGAAAGGGAAGTACAGAATCCAAAGCAGGGTTCAGGCTCCAAGCTGTCAGCGCAGAGCCTGATGTGGGGCTTGAACCCAAAGACTGTGAGATCATGACCTGAGTCAAAGTTGGAGACTTAACTGACTAAGCTTCCCAGGCACACCCATGGTGGTTTTGATGGATAGTTTCCTAAAGATTAATGATGTTGAGCATCTTTTCATGTGCCATTTATATATCTTCTTTAGAAAAATGTTTATTAAAGCCCTTTGGCCATTTTTTAATTGAGTTGTTTGTGTTTTATTGTTGAATTATAAGAATTCTTTATATAATTTGTATATTCATCTCTTATCAGAGATATATGATTTGTAAATATTTTTCTTCCTATTCTGTGGGTTATCTTTTTACTCTCTTGGTAGTGTCCTTTGATGCACAGAGGTTTTAATTTTGATGTAGTCCAATTTATTTTGTTGCTTATGTTATTAGTGTCATATATGCAAAATTATTGTCAAAGCCAAGGTCATGAATATTTTCCTTCATGTGTTCTTCTAATGCTTACACAGTTTTAGCACTTAACCTTCAGTCTTTGATCCATTTGGAATTAATTTTTGTATGTATTAAAGAGAAGGGTCCAAATTCATTCTTTCAGATGTGGATATCCAATGTTTCCCCATTGAATGGTCTTGGCACCTTTGTTGAAAATCAGTTGGTCATACAAAGGTTTACTTCCGGGTTCTCTATTATATTCCATTGGTGTGTGCTTATCCTTAGGGTAATGCCATATTGGTTTTTTTATTTAAAAAAATTTTAATGTTTATTTTTGAGAGAGAGACAGAGAGTGAGCAGGGAGGGGCAGAGAGAGAGTGAGACACAGAACCGGAAGCAGGCTCCAGGCTCTGGGCTATTAGCACAGAGCCTGACTCCAAACCCATGGACCATAAGATCATGACCTGAGCTGAAGTCAGATGCTTAACCAACTGAGCCAGGTGCCCTGAATACCACATTGTTTTGATTCTTGTAGTCTTATACTGAGTTTTGAAATGAGGAAGTGTGAACCTTCCAAATTCATTCTTCCTTTTTTTTAAGATTGTTTTGGCTATTTGGAAAAAAAAAGATTATTTTAAAAAATATTTATTCCCTTGCTGATGAATAGAAGAAGCACATGTACCCCAATGTTCATAGCAGCACTCTCAACAATAGCCAAAACATGGAAAGAGCCTAAGTGTCCATCAACAGACGAATGGATCAAGAAGATGTGGTTTATCTATATGATGGAATACTACATGGCAATGAGAAAGAATGAAATCCGGCCATGAGTAGCAACATGGATGGACCTTGAGGGTGTTATGCTGAGCGAAATAAGTCAGGCAGAGAAAGACAAATATCATATATTTGCACATATAGGAGGATTAGGAGGAACTTAACAGAGGACCATGAGGGAGAAGAAGGGGGGAAATAGGAGAAGGAGGGAGGCAAACCATGAGAGACTCGAATGCTGAGAACAAACTGAAATTGAGGACTGATGGTGTGGGGGGAACGGGGGAGATGGGCATGGAGGAGGGCACTTGTGGGGATGAGCACTGGGTGTTATATGGAAACCAACTTGACAGTAAACTATTTGTAAAAAAAAAAATACTTATTCCTTGTAAGAGCTATATGAAATTTCTACCTTTTGAAAAGACTCCTATTTCTTATAATAATTTTCTGGAACTGTTTTCAACTGTTTACTAAAGAGTGCATTTATGCTCTTAATTACAGAAAAAGTATCCAGACCAAAATTCATTAGTGAAGAGAATGCATTCTCTCCAGATTGACTGTATAGCAATACCTCCAAGCAGGTCAAATTCAGGTAACATACTATGATTGAAAGTACTTTATTCATTGTTCATTCATTCACTCTGTTTTCTAAAATAACTCTTCATGACCATAAAAAAAAAAAAAGATGCTATAATATTTAACCCCTGTCATAAGGGAATTTATAATATATTTGGGAGGGAAGATACATATATTTAAAATGGTAAGCAACCTTGTGTTCACCAAAATCATAAAGCATCTTGACAATATAGGGAGAAAGTGACAGATCAGGAAAAAGAGAGGACATATGTGAAAGCAAAGTCCTTAAGAAGGTCAGGGATGATAGATTCAGAAAACAAGCAGAGAGGTTGGTCTCAGATTCAAGGAGGGTACTTTTTTTCATTATAACAAAAGGGAAAACAAACTATATGATATTGAAAGCACTTATTCGCTATCTGTTCTGGGGCAAATTAACCTCTTATAAATCTCATCTATCAAATCATGATAATAATCGCTTCTATTCTTATGGGCTTTTAAAGAATAAAAGAATCCATGGAAAGTGCTTAGCACCAAGCTGCTATTACTTTTGTCCAGCCCTACATCACACCAAGGAGACATCCACCTTCTCTGTTGCAGTACAGGTCCCTTTCTTCCTTGGTCATTCCTGTGACATGCACATTTCTGTTGCTTCTTAAAATTTCGCTAGTGCTCTCTGCCTGCCATGCAGGGGCTTCTAGATATTACCTAAATAACTTGTAGGAAGAGGACCATCAATTAAATGCTTTTTGATTTATTCTCAAAGTTTTCAGTATGTTCTGAGGTACATATTTATGTTGATGCATAGGTTTTGGTTTTTGTTTTTACTTCTTATTGCTTTATGAAACTCTTTCCACTGTTGATCATTTCTTCTCAGCCCCAGAACAGCCCAGTTCACTGCACAGTTCACAAGGACTTGGGATGGGCCCCGTGGAGGAATCCTGGTTTGCTCCCTCCGTAGAGTACCAGCAGGAGGAGAATGAGCTCAGCTTAAGGAGTAAACTCCAGGAGGAAGCCAACTATCATCTTTTTGGCAGCCGCATGGACAGGCAGACAAAACCAGTCAGACAGAATGTGGCTTATAATAGAGAGGAGGAAAGGAGACGAAGGGTCTCCCATGACCCTTTTGCACAGCAGAAACCTTATGAGAATGTTCAGAACCCAGGAGGAAAAGGTGTTCCTTATTCCAGTGCAACCAGTCATGGTAATGCAGTACACCAACCAACAGGGCTAACCAGCCAACCACAAGTAGTATACTGGAACAATGGATTGTATAATCTATATGGTTTTGGAACAACACCGTTGGATCTGGGAACACCAAGTCCAAGAGTTTGGTATGGGCCAAATCCAAGCCATATGCCAAGCGTGCATAAAACTCCAGTGCCTGAGACCAACCTACTGGGAAACACACCCACCATCCCATTCAGCTCCATGCCATCAAGAGGTAAACAGTTTTTTCAGTTACAATCTAAACAATAAAAATTTGTGAAAATAAAGCAGCCATTAGCTCTGTTGTAGACTATCAGGTAACACAGGTGAGTTGTTTGCATTTTCCAGCTGCCAGATGCAGTTTGCAACCATGGAATAGTCTCCATCAGACCACTTGGCTTCAGTCTGGGTAGGATTCATTGCATTTGCCCATAGGTGTTGGGTTATAGGTCCTGATAACCGGTAGGCATCTTCTGCTCTAACCTGCATCACAGTAGTCCCATTGCCCTAATCTCTGATGGGAGTGAAGGTCACTGCTGTGTTCTTTTACTTGCTTGCTGTTTTCTGAAGGTAAGAAAGAAGTCTTAGATATTTTTATTTCTTAGCTTTTATAGGCCAAAGACGACCATTTGTGGTGAAAACCATAGTGTTGGTCTACCATCACCACCATTTTATCTCCACAACTCTTTTCATCTTCCCAAACTGCAACTCTAAACTCACCAGGCACTAACTCTCCATTCTCCACCCCCTCAGCCCATGACAACTACCATTCTACTTTAAGTCTATATGAATTTACCCACTCTAGGTACTTCATGTTAGGGAAATCATACAGTATTTGTCCTTTTGTGACTGCTTTACTTAGCACAATGTCCTAAAGGTTCATCCATGTTGTAGCCTGTAGAACTTCTTCCTTTTTAAGGCTGATAATATTCCATTGCCTGTATATAACACATTTTGTTTATTTGTTCATCTGTTGGCAGACACTTGAGTGGCTGCTCTAAACATGAGTGTGTAAATATCTGTTTGAGGCCCTGCTTTCGATTCCATTGGGTATATACCCAGAAGTGGATTTGCTGGATCATAGAGTAATTCTATTTTTAATTTTTGAGGAACCTCCATACTGTTTACCACAGTGGCTGCACCATTTTATATTCCTGCCAGCAGTACACCAGGGTTTCAGTTCATCCACATCCTTGCAAACACTGTTTTTGTGTGTGTGTTTTATTTTTAATAGTAGCCATCCTGATGGATGTGAGGTTGGTTCAGCTACATATTAAAGACAAAAATTTCAAAGAGTGGCATAGGATAAATAATTTAACTTATACATCTGGAATAAAGCCCTGCCCTCTTACCATGTTGTATTTATTTCTCTTGCTTTTTTTTTTTTTTCATGTTTATTTGTTTTTGAGACAGGGAGAGAGGGAGGGAGGGAGAGAGAGAGAGAGAGACAGAGGGTGCGTGTGCAAGCAGGGGAGGGGCAGAGAAAGAGGTGGGGCAGAAGATCTGAAGTGGGCTCTGACAGTAGAGAGCCTGATGCTGGGCTCGAACTCATGAACTGTGAGATTATGACGGGAGCTGAAATTGGACACTTAACCAACTGAACCACTCAGGTGCCACTCTCTTGCTTTCAGTCTAGATATACTTACCTATGTATTTCTCTCTATTCAGAGGAGTCTATAAAATGTAACATATACAATAGCGCTGGCATTCAGGTTGGAGACCATAATTATATGGAGATTGGTGGAATGAGTTCAGCAGTACTGGAAGGCACCCACATGAACTTGAAAGAAGAGCCAGCTTCTAAATACCAAGATATCTTTGGTAAGATGCCCTTAAGGACCCATTGTCTAGCAAACTTGAACTTTCTTACTTGTTTAGAGGGATCTAATGGAATCCTGAAATTTCTCTTATTATTCTCTCTGAAAATTGTGTTTTCTCTGTAATTTCCATATAAATTTTTTTAATGTTTTATTTATTTCTGAGAGAGAGAGAGACAGTGTGAGAAGGGGAGGGTCAGAGAGAGAGGGAGATACAGAATCTGAAACAGGCTCCAGGCTCTGACCTAGCTGTCAGCACAGAGCCTGACATGGGGCTCGAACCCATGAACCGTGAGATCATGACCTGAGCCGAAGTCAGACGCTTAACCTACTGAGCCACCCAGGCGCCCCTGCAATTTCCATATAATTCCTTTGTGATTTACTTATGTTTAATATGGGGATAATTACAATATCTAATTCATGGATTTATTATGAAAATTAAATGAGTCAGTATGGGTAAATAGATTAGAACACTGCCTGGCACATAGTTAGGTCTATGAAAGTGTTAAATACATCATCATCAATATTACTACTCAGACCTAGGAGAGGGAGCTCCCTCAGGTCTCCGTCAAGAGGGATTCTGTAAAAGATAGAAGACTATGGCCTCAACAGCACGTCTGTAATAAAAATAATAGGGCTTTCTCTTACAGGGCTCCACTATGCAGGCTCATAATATTAATCCTAAAACACACCTGGGAAAAGCAGTCACGAGGCTAAAACAATGGGATTTAAGAACCTAGCTTTACAATTAACTCTAGGAATGGCAAAACTTTTCTATAAGGGATAGATAGTAAATATTTTAGGCTTCACTGGTCCCGAGGTCTCTGTTGCAACTACTCAAATGACATTGTAGTATAATAGCAGCCAGAGATAATATGTACACGATCAGATATGGCTGTGTTCTAATAAAACTTTGTTTACCAAACCAAGCAGTGGGCCAAATTTGGCCCACAGGCCATAGTTTGCCAATCCCTGACCTAATCCATTTGAAGAATAGTCTATAGCATTCTAAGAGTGGAGGTTCCTAAATTTTAGGCTGACAGAGGTACCTTTGAGAATCTGATGAAACCCAGGGTCCCTCTCCCAGAGAGGTACTGACAAAATTTGACAAATATCTTGGGAGGTTTTGGACTGCTGATGTCCAGGGCTGATAACAGAAGCTGCATTGTGGGGAACTGAGGAAAGAGTGGGAGTTGAGGGTAAAAAATGAGATGTCTTTTTCCTTTTGTTCAGCTTTTTGAGGTAGGATGCGCATTAAGGAAAATGTGTGTGGTGGTGATTTTATACTTTAGCTTCCTTTTGTTATTTTTATGAAGAACAAAGGAGAAAGAACTAGTAGAAAGAGAGGTTGTAGCTATAGAAGAGAAGACAGACTTAGGGTAGAGGAGAAATGAGTCCCAAAATAGAACTTGAAAAGTAGATCCCTCATTCCTTAAAAGACCAGGGAACTCACCGTAATTGAATGAGTTCACACTTGATGGTCTCAGTTTCCTTAAGAGAAAAGTGACCTGTTGGGTGCAGGGAATTAGGAGTTAAATGACCTTAATTCTGGCCAAATGTAAGTGGAAAATGCCAAAAGGAACCAAAGTGGTGTTTTCCCTCTTTACATCAGGAAGATCTGATATTAATACGGCCACTGGCTAAATTTGTATAGAACAGCCTAGGAGCCAAGCAGGGGTTTCATTCCCAAAGCCATCGGCTGTGGCTCATATATACCTGTGCTAGGCGGAAGGGGTTCTCTATTGTATTCATATCAAGACTCCAAATGGGCTTCCAGACATGGAAAGTATCACCCAGCGAGTCAATAACTATATAATTAAGAAGTTATCTTTTTTTTTTTTTTTTTTTTTTTTACTGTCTTCTCATACTCTTTCTGTAGGTTTTTGAAGCTAGAATGTTCCAAATGGGCTAAAGCATTATGTCTTCTTCTCTTTTCTGTTTGGCAGATAATACCACTAGTCTGACTGATAAACATCTGGACCCAGTCAGGGAAAATCTGGGAAGGCAATGGAAAAACTGTGCGCGTAAGCTGGGCTTCACCGAATCTCAGATTGATGAAATTGACCATGACTATGAGCGAGATGGACTAAAAGAAAAGGTGTACCAGATGCTCCAAAAGTGGCTGATGAGGGAAGGCAATAAGGGAGCCACAGTGGGAAAGCTGGCCTATGCACTCTACCAGTGTGCAAGAATAGACCTTCTGAACTATTTGATACACATCAGCCAGAGCTAATTCCAGAATGGGCTTTGGCAGCATGAGGTAATCTTCTCACTTAGTAACACACTGGAAGTGTGCTGCCTCAGAACATTCAGAATTCTTTCCTCCCTGATTGAGGTTCTGTGTCTGCATAAAAATCTCCTGCATCCCATAGCTGGAGCATGGGAAAGAAATCTACAACAAACAACCCACTAACCAGGAAGAACTATTAATGGCTGAGGTCCACTCCAAAAAAAAAAAAAAAAAGAAACCAAAAGAGCCTAATTGGGTTTTGAAAGGGAAAGAAGAGATATTTGAGGAAGATATTTTCTTTCAGTACATTCCATAACCTTCAATGATGGTATTCATTTAATTTCCTGGACTATTGTTTGAACAAGAAAAACAAATTCAGAGAAATGTAAACTAAGTCAACTTTCTTATCTAATGCTCTCTTCCCTCCATGTAGGATGTTATTATAACCAGAATACAGTGAAATTGTGAGTTCTCTTCAAATAGGGTTGGGTTTTGTTTGTGTGTTTGTTTGTTTTTTATATTAAAACTATAGCTCATTCCAAAGCTACAAGCTCTGTTAACTTCAGTACCAACTGTTGTCATCAGTCACTACAGGCTTTAAGAATTACACTCATCAGGAGGATGCAGCATGGTGAATCTGGCTGTCAGAACAGATTCTAGGAACTGGTGACTGATAACAGTATTGTGGCTCTGGTTCTAATTCCCCTCCAGCGCCAACTGATACACATACATACACACCCCTGAGGTGGGGCTGTTAAACAGGATTTCTCAACTTCTGCATTATTGGCATCTTGGGCCAGAATTATCATGGGGGCTGCCTTGTGCTTTGTGGGATTTGGATGTTTGAAAGCGCCCTCTGCCCGCTAGATGCCAATAGTGCTGTCTTCCCCTCCTCTATCCTTGGTTGTGACAAGACACTGCCACATGTTCCCTGGTAGTGCAAAACTGGATCCAGCTGAGAAGAACAGTGCCATAAAGTAATGAACCTCAGCCGCGTATCCACACATATCCAGGCTTAGTATTAGTCGCCACATAGCACTTGATCACACAGACCAAAAGGAAAATTGGAAGGGGAAAGACTCCCAGGCTTTGCTGGGGTGGGGGTGGGGGTGGATCATTGCTTGTCTAAATGTATCCCTTGTACTTTTGTCCTAACAGTGTTTAAATTTTACAGTGTTTAAATTTTCTAAATTCTCAAGAGATTGAATGATCAATGTTTTACAAAGCAAAAATGAAAGTATTTTTAATGGACTTTTAAAAATAAAATTTTGTACCTCAAATATGAGCAACTGAAATGATGTGTTTGTAAATGAAACTGGGCTTCTCTACATAGGTTGACATTTCCTGGATGAACTCTCCTTTTCACCCTCTTGATATTAGCAGGCAAGAGGAAGTGATGGGATAAAGGAGAAGGTTCTGGAGAGCCTTTTTGGCTCTCAGGATGAAAACTCGCTGCCTTCAGAGGCTGCAGCCCTGCCGCCTTTTAAAGATGATTCAGAAGTCTTTCCTCCAGCCCCTACTCTGTCAAAACTGGGCTGAAAAGAGCCAAATTTGTATCTAAAGTGTTTCGATACAAGAAAATCAACTAAGTGAGATGACACAGACTACATGAGGAGAGAGAAGCCTATCCATACCTTCATTCCAAAAAAGATACTCAGACCCTAGAGTTACTACTGGTAAATAACACTCACTTCCAGCTCTCACAGCCTTGTGAAATCAGCAGATTTTCTACTTATTGCTGTGGTATTTGTTTTGGCTTCATAAAATGAAGGTAGGTCTTCAGGAATAGTTCTTTCTTTCTCAGAAAAAATTTAAAATAGTTATTTTGATGTACATTTTAATGTGTGGTCATAAAAGTTTTTCTTTTATAATAATGTAAATAAAACTAGGCATTTACTAAGATAAATGGCTTAGCCAATTGCAGATAAAAGTGTTTTCCATCAGAAGTGGGCTGTGACACTACAGTGGAAAACAAGCTCAAGATGACTTTATGAATGGTAAAAATTTCCTTGCCAGAATGTGCAATAGTAGCTGATATTAATTCTCATGTCAACGAGATCACTTCTTTTTATCACATCCATTGTAGGATAAAAAATATCTGCTAACTGCCAAAACTGAATGTAATACAAAATCATGGTTGAATTTTAAAGTTTACTTTATTTAACCCATCAGGTTTTAATATTTTAGGAGGAGTAAGAAATGAAATATTGATGGTTTTTGCCCATTGCAATCAGCCAGGGTTACTGTGCAATTTCACTGAAAAGGACTGAAGAGAAACAAAACAAAACACTAGGTATTTATATGGTCAAGACTTTAGAAATATCTGAAAGAATTTTTATTTTTAATTTTACTTTTTGTGTTATTATTTTTAAAGTAATTCAACCTGGGGCTTGAACTCCTGACCCCGAGATCAAGAAACCAAGAGTCTCAGGCTGTACCCACCGAGCTAGCCAGGCATCCCCAAAGAAGCATCTGATTACAAGGAAATTGTTGAAAGCCTAATGCTACTACAGTGAATTCCATAAAACATAACAATCCAAGTACAGGTTTTGAAATCAAGCAGGCTTAAATTCTCTTCTGCCACTCTAGCTGTGTACCCAGGGCCTGCTTCCTAACCTCTCTTAATCTCAGTTTCCTCATCTTATAGAGAGGGCAATAGGGTTGATGTGAGGACTAAAATAATGCATCATAAGGTGCTGGGCACAAGGTTACTTTTTAATTAAAACTGCACAATAGTGTTATACATAAAGGACTAGTTCTCAAGTGTACACTTCAAAACAAATTGTGACCAATAACTTAAAGCCTCAAGGTGCTACCATTTTTGCTAATTTATCAGTGGGATAACATGTTAAAATTGTAGACAACTATTTTTAACTCTCATGATCTGAGGCTCATGAGGGTCAACTTCTCAAGAAAAAATAAGGAAATGTTGACCCACAAAGATATCTGAAAGTCAGATGATAACAGCTGAAATGTATTTCTCTTTCCTTCTATTTAATTTTTTTTAACATTTATATATTATTGAGAGACAGAGCATGACCATTGGAGGAGCAGAGAGACGGGGAGACACAGAATCCCAAGCAGGCTCTAGGCTCTGAGCTGTCAGCACAGATCCCTACCTTCGGGCTGGAACTCAAAAACAGCAAAATCATGACCTGAGCTGAAGCTGGATGCCTAACCAACTAAAATTGGCGCCCCAATTTCTCTTTCCTTCTGTGTGGGGAAATTGATGTGATAGATTTATGTTGAAGAATATTTTTCCTCAAGAAACTCAAATGGGCCAGAGAGGATACTGCAGGTATCAGCACCCCCATGGCTATAACATAATGTTACATAATGTCTCAAAGTTCATATTATGGCATATGTCAGAATTTCCATCCTTTTAAATAAAAAGTTTAAATCATAATAAAAAATAATCGAAAAAAATTTTAATGTTTATTTGAGAGAGAGCGAGGTAGGGGCAGAGAGAGAGGGAGACACAGAGTCTGAAGCAGGCTCCAGGCTCTGGGCTGTCAACAGAGAGCCAGACGTGGGGCTTGAACTCACAAACCATGAGATCATGACCTCAGTCGAAGTTATAGGCTTAACCAACTGAGCCACCCAGGTGCCCCTCCATCCTTTTTAAAGAACAATATTCCATAATATGTATACACAGGTATAAACCTTCATCCCTCCATTGACATTTGGGTTGCTTTCCAATTTTCCATTTTGGCCATTTTTAATAATGCTAGGACCATGGATGTGTAAATATCTTTAAGACACTGTTTTCAATTCTTGAGGGTATATACCCACAAGTGGACTTGCTGGATCATGTGATAATTCTACCTTTAATTGTTTTGAGTACCTGCCATGCTAGTTCCACTACCACTGCACTATTTTATACTCCCACCAGCAGTGTACAGGGTTCCAATTTCTCCACATCCTCGCCAACACTTTTGCTTTCTGGGTTTTTTGGTATGGGTTTGCCATACCAAACAATGGGTATGAGGTAATGTGAAGGAAAAGATTTAATGCCATCATATCTAGAAGCAAATGCATTTCCCTCCACCGACAGCAGCCAGCCTTGAAGCCCCCTCCTGCGCCCACCCGTCCTAACCCCCGTCTCACCACCCACTCCCTGAGAATGGCTGCATCCGGGATGCGGCCCCGCCTCTCTGGAGCTTCGGGTCGCCGGGGCCCTGGGCAGGGCGGAGCCGACTGGGTCGTGCCCCTGGGGAGCCACAGCTGGCACCCAGAGTGGAAACGAACTGTGTTGGAGTACCTGTGGGACTTCGAGCCCCGTCTCTGACAAGGGTCACAAACAGTGCGGCGGGCTACTGGTCATACCATCCCGGCGGCGATACGCTCTGGCCAGAAATTCAGGAGCCTCCGCGTTCTCCCGGGAACTGCGGAGGGGGTGAGGGCTGCCGCCAGGCCTAGACGCTCCCTCGCGTGCTGGCTACGGGCCGCCGCGGGCCGCTCTGGGGCGGGGCTCAGGCTCGTTCTCCCGCGGTGGGGCGGGGCCCGCTCTGGGCGGTCGGCGGACCCGGCGCATGCGTGCTCCGGGGTTCGGCGGGATCTGTGACCATGGCTGAGGAGCTGGGCCGCAGGTCCGTGTCGCGGCTGCGGCTTCTTCTGTCGGTTCTGAAGCCTGGGAACTACGTCCCGCGTGCTGGGCCTGCAGCCGCATTCGGGTAATGCCAGCTTCCCTCCGCGGGCCCCTGAGGCCAGTCGCGCGCGGGTAGCCGCCGGGGCTCAGCGTCGCCTCCCTCTTGCCCCTTACTCCGAGACCCGCGCCTGCCCCACCTGGGTGTACGGGAGGCGGTAGAGCTCACCTCCACCTCTGCTGCTCCCAAGCCCCTAAGCAGGTCCCAAGCCCCTAAGTCGTCGTTGTCATCTTCTTCTTCTTCTCCTCCTTCTCTTTTTTTGCTTAGTTTGAACTTTAACGTGCAAAGGAACCGCCTTGAGAACCTGGGAAAATTCACAATCCTTAGCCTGACCCTTAGAGGTTCTGATGTAGGTGGAGAAGGCCAAGATCTGCCGTTTTTTCTTTTCTTTTCTTTTCTTTTCTTTTCTTTTCTTTTCTTTTCTTTTCTTTTCTTTTCTTTTCTGACACTCCCTATCCTCCACGCGTACTGAGATAAAACAACAAAAACAGCTGGATTAATCTCTGACCTACTGTCTTTTTTTTTTAATGTTTATTTATTTATTTTGAGGGAGAGAGGCAGTCCCAAGCAGGCTTCCCGCTCAGTGCAGAGCCCCACTTAGGGCTGGACCTCACAACCATGAGATCATGACCTGAGCCAAAATCTAGAGTCCCAGGGTTAACCCCCTGAGCCATACAGGCGCCCTCCCCATTTTAAAAATATCTGACCTACTGTCTTAAAAATGAGTGTCCTTGGTCCCAAGAGATGCTAAGCAGAAAATGTAGTTAGAGCAGCATGAAGCTTGCTTTTCTTTATTCTACCTGTGCACAAACGTACAAAGGATATATATGCAATTAACTGTTGATGGATCAGTTCCATTTATGGGAAAAGTCCAATGCAAGATGGGTACCTGGCATTTAGAATTTGAGTTGATCCGAGACATCTGGGTGACCCAGTCGGTTAAGCGTGGAACTTCGGTTCAGGTGGTGATCTCAGGGTTTGTGGGTTCGAACCCAGGGGTGGGCTCTGTGCTGGCAGTTCAGAATCTGGAGCCTGCTTGGGATTCTGTGTCTCTCCGCACCCTCTCTGCCCCCACCCCTGCTTGTGCTCTGTCTCTCAAAAATGAATAAACGTTAAAAAGAAAATTGGAATTTGAATTGATCTAATGTGGAAACTTCTCATTTCAAAATTTAATTTGGAAGGAGGAGAAAACTCTGACCACCTTTAAGTTTTTATGTTGTGATGAACTAATTCTTGAGTTTGCTATTTGATTTAAATTCTTTTTAAATATAATTTCAGAACTTTTAGAAGACTTTTGGGAGACTATTTTAATACAGATGGGAAAAATATGTTAATGTTCACAGCTGTATAAATCTACATTGAAAAATGGCAATTTATCCAGTTTCCTATTTGTAGAAAGAGATTGAAGTAAGGTTACTATGTGCCAATACTCAAGTTAAGATAGGTTATTTCATGGTTGCAGGAAGGCCATATCCATTTAGTATAAATCGTTCTTCCTAAAACATCTCAGAAAAACCGATTTCTCTGGATTTTGAACTGCCATTTTGTAAATGCAGTTGCAAGTTGATACTACATGTAATCAGAGAAAACCAGAAGTGGTATTCGTTAATCCTGAAATGAGGCTGCAGCTCAGTGTAAGCAGGTGAAAGCGCTCCTTTGCCTCAGAACAGCCAGTGCCCAGCCTCCACTTGAGTTATGTTCTAAAAGCTTGTTTTTGCAAGTCTGTTGTTTGGAACTGTCTTTTATTTTGTAGTCTGTAAAGTGGTTTGTTCCAGGACCAGGTAAGAAGACTTTTCTACCTGCAGTTGGATGTTATGTACAGTTTACAGTATTAATAATTGATAGCACCTAACCACCTGTCCAAAGAAAAATGTTTTTTGAGTTCAACCGTGGGATCTCTGCCTGAGAATCAAAGAGCCTCCTTTTCCTGGTGCCTGCCACCATGTTCTTTCTGTCTGGCATTCAGGGTCAGTGTGGCCCCAGGGCCAGAGCCCTGTGGGGACTTTGTTCAGTGACGTTACAGAAAAAAAACAGGCCTCTGGTGTTTACATGGCTGCATTGCTAATTCCTATCTGCACAAATGTAAGCACCTGTGTCCTCAACCTGGCGATTGAGAAGAGGTTTTTGGCAGCCTCGATTAATGCCAGTGGGTGGGGTAATATGAGAGTGGCATGTACCTCTGGTATGGGGACATACCGGATGTTGATGACAAGGCACTAGGGGCATTTTCTTTCTCCTTAGCCCAGCTGCAAGCCCCCTCAACATTTGGCCCCAACCTTTGCTCCCTCTTTGCCCCATACACCTGCCAGGCTGAACACTGCCTTTCCCCCCACATATGTTCCCACCGGGCCTTTGATCATGCTATTTCTTCTAGGAGCACCCTCCCCACATCCTTTTTTCAGAATTTTACTCCTCTTGGAAATTAATTCAAATGCTACGTTTTCACTCCTCTTCAGATACCTTTAACTCAATCCTAATATGGTCTCTGTCTCTCCTGTAAAACCCTCTTCTGCCTTAGTAAACCCTTCTCTGACACTGAGTTTCCATTCTGCCAAATCTAGACTACATGGTTTGTTTTTACATTCATCTTAGGCAACCAAAAGATGAGATAGGGATAATGGGGGGTGGGGGTGAGGGGTGAAATGGGGAATCAAAACACAGGTACAGCAAAATGCAAAGGGAATTTAGAGGTTTTTTGCAGAAGAGACTTCAGGATGATTGTGAAAGCTGAAGGAAAGGAAGCCCCTGAAAGACAGTGCCCTTGCAGGGGCCCTTGAACAGATGTACCCAGTGAGAGTGAGCACACCCAGCCAAGAAAAGCCACTGTCTTGGGTGTTGAGAGATTCTGTGCAGGGTGGGGTTCTTCTCAATGTGCATAACCTCACAGCACAAAATGATTCTTACAAATCATTTACAAACTGATTTGCCCTTGACTGCTGCAAGAAGGGGAGACCCTCAAAGATCCTTAGGGTGTGAGGTGTACTAAAGGTACACATTATCACTAGCATGAGCTATGCAAATCCTAGCCCCCTCTGGCTAGGGAGCTGCCTCATTCCTGTGTGGTGCGTATAGGAAATACTAATAACTTGTTCCAGCCAGTCTCCTTCTGCTCCTTGCCTCAGTCAAAACCTACACCTCCCTGACAGTTTGCAGAGTGAATCTCTTGTCTTTTTTTTTTTTTAATGTTTTTTAATTTATTTTTGAGAGAGAGAGAGAGACAGCGTGAGCAGGAGAGGGTCAGAGAGAGAGGGAGTTACAGAATACGAAGAAAGGCTCCAGGCTCTGAGCTAGCTGTCAGCACAGAGCCTGACGTGGGGCCTGAAAGCACGAACCGTGAGATCATGACCTGAGCCGAAGTCAGACGCTTAACCGACGGAGCCACCCAAGCGCCCCATGAATCTCTTGTCTTTATCTTCTCTCCTGCTAGACTGTGGGCAAAACAGATGTGTCCATAATTGTGGAAATGAATCTTTATTTCTAGAGTATTACTTGCTTTTATCTGGATACCAGAGCCATCTGAACAGTAAAAATGAATGACTCTGAAGAATAGGACATTGATAAGTAATGTTGCAGTGTCAGTATGACCCAGTCTTGTTTCAGCAGCTTTGTTATTGCTCCTCATAATTTTTCTATAGATAATGAGCTTATGGTTATATCTGGCTTTATTACCACCAGTTCTCTCATGTTTGCAGAAATTGTGTTAATACTTGGTGTACCTGCATTCAAGACGCCCGTTTCTGCATGCTCATTTGAAATGGGCGTGGGACGAAACCCAAAGAGGAAAGAGGACCTCATTTTGCAAAAAGTGTTTCATTTCAATAAGCATTTTAACTAACTGCAGAGATAGGGGGTAGAGAGTACAAAAAAGAAAACGGGAGGCAGCAGTTAATTTAAATTCCTTCATATTCTGTGGGGAGAAGAGGGGCGCCTCCTTCCCGCATCTGTCCTGGCATGCCAAAATGTCCCTTCTGCATGTCACTCAGTTATCTGGGAAATTGGTGGGGAGGCTGCTAGGGCCTGATGCAGGAGCCATGTATATGCCCTATTGCTGTGTATCCCTGGTTAGTCATTCTAGAGCTTCTGGGAGAGCAGGAGAGGACAGGTTCTTCAGAGCAGGACCTTTGGTAAGGTACTCACATGAGTCAGAACAGACCCTGGCCTTGGTCCTGGCCCAAGGTGTGGGGCCAAGGAAAGCCCTGGCTCAGGGAGGGCTCTTGGATGGAATATTATGAACCTGGCTGTTTAACAATCAACACAAATATTTAAATATGTTAAAAACTGGTCTGGCCACAGCAGTGCTGACAAGCATTCCTGCTAAGAATGCTCCTGTGGCTGGCTAGAGAACATGAGAGGCCATACTCCTAAAGGGCCACCAGGGGACCCCCGAGACCACCTCCCCCTTAGGAACACTGCCGATGCAGCTGAAGGTCAGGTAGCCCCTTTAGATCTGCTCCAAGGTTTGCACCATTGTTGTTCACCCTCGAGTTCCATTGTGTGGAGCCCCTGCATCAACCTGCACCCTGGCACCCCTGGCTTCCAGCTCACCAGGCACGTGCCCATAGGACTGTGTGGCCACTGGTTGCGGCAACCTCTCAGTACTTTTGTAGGGTAAGCCCTGGGCTGGTAATGTAGGATATTCACAGATGAAGGCTCAGTTCAGATCTGCAGTCTTTAGTAAGATCCCTTTTTAGGCTGGGAAAACTTAAGCACAAATCAAAGTAATCAAGGAAGCTTGAGGAGGGTCCTGGGGCCGACATGGGTAGGTAAAAGGAAAGTTTTGTCATATTAACATTTGTGCTGCTAAGTAATTTTTCTTTGGGGATGGGATTTTTCTCTTTCAGCACCTCAGTAACCTCTGCCAAAGTGGCTGTGAATGATGTCCTCTTGCATTATCAGCAGACTGGAGAGGGAGAGCATGCGGTCCTGCTGCTTCCTGGAATGTTGGGTCTGGAAGTTTCTTTATGGGATTTGCATGCTGTGTAGTCTCAGATGCATTCAAAATAGTAGATGCCAACTACTGATTATTAATTTTAGGGCTTTGCTGAAATGCTTTAAGGGTTATTTATTTATTTTGAGGAGAGGGAGGGAGACACAGAATCCCAAGCAGGCTCCAGGCTCTGAGATCTCAGCACAGAGCCCGACACAGGGTTCGAACCCATGAACCACAAGATCATGACCTGAGCCAAAATCAGATGCTCAACTGACTGAGCCACCCAGGCACCCCTTAAATGCTTTAGTACTTGCTACAAATTTAAGTGATTCAGAAAAGAAAGATAACTTTCTACTTTATATATTCTTTATTCCTTTAAATACCCAGGTTTTTTTTCCTCATACAGATATACTGTGTAGTGGCCTACAGTTTGGGAAGATGACAGAGGTCAAGGAAAGGGGTGTGGAAAGAAGGGATAGTAAAGACAGAAGATGAGCTAGTGACCACCTGTCCCAGTGTGCCTGGAATTGAGGGGCTCCAGGATGCAAGACTTCCAGTGCTAAAAGATGGAAGGATCGCCCTGTTGCAGTTGATTATATGCTCAGTTAAAATAAGAGCTAAGAACAAGACTTAGTTTAAAGCCGTTTTGTAAATCAAAATTAGATTGGTATGAATGGAGCATAGTGAAGCCAGCAGGATCTCATTTTCCAGATCAGTAATTTACATGTAGGCAGTTCAGGGGGATGATTTCCAGTGATCCCAGGACATCGCAAATTTGGTTTTAAGGGTTTTAGTATTGTTTTGATTTAGTTAAATAATCCCAATATATACTATTTCCTTATGACTTTTAAAATAAGGTGCTAAAATTTTTAATTACTTGATGGTTCCACTTGACTGAGCCTCAGCTGATTGTGGTACCATTGTAGCTATTGAAGCATCTTTGTCTAGATAGTATTTAGTATTTTTTTCCTCCTAAGTTTTTGTAACAAAGGAGGACATTTACTCCAGTGACTGGTGTAGATCTAAAGATATCTGTAAAAGCAGTGAACCAGTTGCCGGCTTAGATTTCCATTATTTCAGTATTGTGATTATGGTTCAGGCATAAAACACTTTTGACCACTTAATTTTTTTATGTAAAACATTAACCTGATCTCCAAATCAAAAACCATGAGATTCTCTCTTCTAGTCCCTTTGTCACCTAGCACCTAGTAACTTCCCCACAAGCAGTCAGTATCAGTGTGTTTCCTTCTCAGGTATCATATACTGGTAACTATTCCTTAAAATAGTTTTGTAAAGGTTTTAGTATTCTTTAGTATTTAGTATTTGGTATTCATATGTATACCTGTGGGCCAGAAAGGAAGTGTCTCATTATTTCTGAAATTGGTCTTGAATTCGATTGTTCCCTTTTCCCACCTTCTCACCTCCTGTACCTCCTTCAGGGTGGTTCCCATGTGGAAGTCTCTTCAGTCCAGGGACCATAAGAGATGATTGTGTGTCAGAGCAGTAGACATGCCCTTGAAAGCCATTTATATTTTTGCCTTAGGTTTTCTGGATAATTTATTTACCTGATGTTGAGAAAGGTAGATCTTTCCAGGAAAAATGGTAGTCATTGATTACATTAAATGATCCTGTACCATCTTGAAAGACATTTTCTAATACTAGCTTGTTTATCAAGCAAGATGTTGAGTATCCAAGTGTGGCCTTGAGCTATGAGTCCTTAGAAACTAAGCAGACTTTAAAAATGAAATGCTGACTGGTCCCTGGACAGGGTTCCTTGAGAGTCTGACCTTCCTTCCAGGCCACGTGCAGTAGGTGTGTGCACACAGTGGCTGTGACTTCGTGAGTGGGCTGGGAACTGCCAGTCAGGTCCACTACAGGCTCAAGAACATAGTTCTGCTGGTTAACATTTGCAGCTGTTTTAGTGATATAAGCTAATTTGATTTCCTCCCTCCATACCCTGCCTTCCCCCTCATTTCAGTGTTTTAGTTGAGTTTTCTGGTGTTTATTTATAACCAGAAAATAAAATCTTCAGGGCTGTTCACATTTGCTTAGTAAAAAACACCTGAGAATTTAGAATTCTCCTTTGAATAACTTGTACCAAACCTCTTAAGTTTGTTGGCAGATAATATTGGGATCTCTCCCATTTATAACAGTCATTTTTAAAATAATTTTTTAACATTTATTTATTTTGAGAAACAGAAGCAGAACAGAGCAGAGAGAAAGAGAGGGAGACACAGAATTCAAAGCAAGCTCTAGGCTCTGAGCTGTCAACACAGAACCTGATACAGGGCTTGAACCCAAGAATCATGAGATCATGACCTGAGCTGAAGTAAGATGCTTAACACCTGAGCCACCCAAGCACCTTTTTAAAAAGAAAGGAAAAATAACCCAGAAACATATCATATCAATAAATCAATTTCTATGCAGTTTCATGAATTCCTTTGTTTTCTTTTTTTAAGGAAGATTGTTTGAAGAAGTATCAATAGTGCTGAAATAATACAGGGCCAAATGAATTGGGGCCTCTGTCCTCAAGGTAGCCACTAGGAGGAGACAAAATGCAGGTCTGAACTCCACCAGGAAAGGAAGTCAGCCTTCTAGTAAATGGATTTTACCATCAAAAAACTGCTGACTGCATCCCAGTGTCTTAAGTTTGAGGAGACACTAGTTACTTTGTTTTAAGATTGTATTTGTCTCTGCTTTTACTGTAATGTGTTTGAAATAATGAAATCCTTCACCTGAGGGAAACCACGTGACTATTTTTAGGAAGTGGAGAGACTGATTTTGGACCTCAGATTAAGAACCTCAATAAGAAGCTCTTCACAGTGGTTGCCTGGGATCCTCGAGGATATGGACATTCCAGACCCCCAGATCGAGATTTCCCATTGGACTTTTTTGAAAGGGATGCAAAAGATGCAGTTGATTTGATGAAGGTGGGTCTCTTAGGGAAGAGCCCAGAGGAGGGAGGATGATGGGGCCTGTCTTCATCTATTTCTTGTTTTTTATTTCTACAGGGGTGATACCATGTGATTCTTATAGAAAATTCAAGGAGTTCAATCAGATAGGTATAGTTAGTAGAATAAGGAAGTAGAAATATCCCACAATTCAACTATTTAGAGATATCACAATTATGACTTTGAGACTGCCTTTCCAGCCAATCTTCTGACACATTAAATACACAGTATTATATTGATGGCATCATACTGTATCTAATGTTTTTTCCAACTTAATCTTCGTAGAACAATTTGTCGAGGAGATACTTCCATGTTAATACATACAAATTTACATAAATCTTATAATAGTCACATAGTATTCCATTGTAGAGAGGAACTATCTTATTTCACATCTCTCTCATGATAGATAAATGACTTAATTTTTAAGTTGCTTTTTTTGTGATTATGAGCAGCAGGGCAGTGAACATTGTTCTGTCCGTGGATGTTTTAGTTCTTTTATAAACACTGTTGCTGTGGGCACCCTGGACCTGTCTCCTGATACACATGTGCAAAAGTTCCATACATTTCTAGGGAATGATACCGTGTTATAGAAGATGCAAATGTTCATTTGACAAGATAGTGCCAAATCGTCATCCATGTGACTTGTTGCAATTTATAGTCCCATCAGTATCTTGGACTGAAATTTGTTAAATCTCTAATTTTCCAAGTCATTCTAGTTTTACTTCTGGACAACATCTCTCTGATGTAATCTTTGTTCAATTTCCTTGTCAAACACATTTTCAGAGCCTGGTTGATATTAGAACTAATATAACCTCCCCGGGACAGCATTCTCTTCCAGCCTGTCTCCAGCAGGTTCTTCCCACACTTGCTTTTATCAGATGCAGTGACTTCATTTCATCCAGTAAATATCAAGTTCCCCTCTCTAATCTATATTACTATTCTCAAAGTCTTTGCTCAGGTGTGGGTGTGCATGCCCATGTAATTTATCATTTCCAAGGACAGCTGATCTCCACTGTTTACAGAGATTTTATCCAAACAGAAGATGTAGTTCCCTCATAATTCAAAACAATACTGTGTACTTAGCTTCTTACAATACACATTTACACCAGAACTAAATGAGAAAAAAACATTTCTGTCCTCAAATGCTGGCTAGGACTTTTCGTTAATTACCAAGTGATGCTCCAAATCCCACACTGTATTGATTTGGATGATTGTTAATGATCAGATTCTTCTAGTAGAGAGGAGCAATCACCTGTGCTGTGCATTTCATTGTATTTATCACAGACACTGAAGTTTAAGAAGGTGTCCCTGTTGGGGTGGAGCGATGGTGGTATTACAGCACTCATAGCAGCTGCGAAATATCCATCTTACATCAACAAGATGGTGATCTGGGGAGCCAATGCCTACGTGACTGAGGAAGATGAAACCATTTATCAGGGTAGGTTTCATGAACTGGAGATGTCGTGACAAGTAGCATTTTGCCCTCCTCCTCTCACGTCTTACTGTGACATGTACTGACAAGTCCTGTCTCATCTGCTTCCAGTTCTCAGCTCTGCAGTAGGAAGAGTAACAAATTCTTGGAAGTAAGACAGTCTAACCAGTCTGTGTTTTAAATTTATTTTTAAGTTTATTTATCTTTGAGAAACAGAGACAGAGTGTGAGTGGTGGAGGAACAGAGAGAGAGGGAGACACAGAATCTGAAGCGGGCTCCAGGCTCTGGGCTGTCTGTCACCACAGCCCAATGTGGGGCTTGAACTCGAGAACTGTGAGATCATGACCTGAGCTGAAGTCGGACACTTAACCAACTGAGCCACCCAGGTGCCCCTAACCAATTTGTCTTTTAAAGTTTCTGTTCCAGAGTGACACTTTCATGCCTCACGAAAAGGTTTTATAAAACTCAGTGTTCACATTTCCTGCTCCTGATAGTGAACGTCAGGGAGGGAGGGGTTGATGTAAAGTGTTATTTATAGTCTCATTTACAATAATGTGAGTGTAAAAAGGAACACTGTATTCAAATATGAAGCCTTATATTTTGATAAAGAATTTTCTTTGCAATTCGCATTTTATTAGGTTGTCCTTCAAGCATATCTTTGATGTTTTTAGAGGCAGAACAGGGGCCAGCAAACCTGGCAGCCTGTGGGCCAAATCCAGCCTGACATCTGTTTTCATAAGGCCAGGCGCTGACTGAGAAGGCTAATGTTTTAGGACCTGGAGATCAGCCTGGGATGTCCCCTCCATCCCTGTTTCCTCCTCTGCTCCCAGTGTTGCTGCCCAGGGCCTGTGCTGGTGGCCACTTACACACTGGTGACTCTTGGCAATTACCATGTACTTAGCTGTGGAATTTCAGTCAGGGACTCTGGAGTTGCTTAGCCTCCAGCAAGCTGACCAAATTGAAACTGCTTAACTCTCTGGAGGAGAGAAGGGCACATTAGGATCTGGGGGTGTCAGGGGCAAAAATCAAAAGTGACCTGGCCACCACCACCATCTGCCAGCCTGACCCACCAGGACCCTCTTCTTCAGTCTGGTAGCTTTTTATCCTGAGCATGTTTCCATTGGATCCCAGATGGCTCTTCCCAGGCAGTTAGGGTCAAGCAGGTCAGAGGTTCCTCACCTTTAATCTATCTACCTAATAATTGTGATTTTGCCTCTTAGCTTGTAAAACCAAAAAAGTTACTCTCTTGCCCTTGACAGAAAGCATTTGCAGACACAAGCCCTGGGATATCACAAGTCTGCTTTTATTCATCTGTCTGCAATTCACATGATTTAAGGAAGCTTCTTAATGACAGTGCTCTGTTGTAGACTCTTAGCTCTTTATACTGTTTGGTAAGGAACTATGAAACTTTTTTTTTAATGTTTATTTTTGAGAGAGAGATAGAGAACCAGCAGGGGAGCAGCAGAGAGAGAGAGAGAGAGAGAGAGAGAGAGAGAGGCAAACAGGATCCAAAGCAGGCTCTACGCTGACTGCAGACAGCCTGATGCAAGGCTCTAAAACTCACAAACCTGACCTGAGCCAAAGTCAGACACTTAACCAACTGAGCCACCCAGGTGCCCCAGAACTATGATCTAGTGATCCATCCTAATCAGCACTCTTGCCTGTCCTTATTTTATCCCTCCTGAGTTCAAAGGAATGAAAATATTTTAAACTGAATGAAAATGCATGTGATAATGCCTGCCCTTGTAGTGTTTGTGCGATAATTCCAGTATCTGGGTCATTTTGGGGTCGGCATTTGTTGGTTGTCTTTTTCCTTAACAATGGGTCAGATGTGCCTGGTTTGGGGTTGTAGGTTTGTTTTTGTTTTTTTCATTTATGTATTTTTTTGTTTGGTATGTTGGTTAATTTGGGACTGTTTTTATTGTACTATGTTGTGAGAATCAGTATTCTGTTAGAATTCTGAGGAATACTTGTTTTGCTTTTTTTACCCCCTTGGCATGCAGTCAACCTGGTTAGGTTCATATGGCAAATTCTGTTTAGCCTTCGGTGGGTGTTATTTCCAGCATCAGGTCAGTTCTCAAAGCTTCTTCATGCCTTCCCCACACAAGCCCCACTCACGCGATGCTGGGACTTTGGCAGTGGTTTATATGGTAGTTTAGTTCTTGAAGCTTATGCTGTATGCTTTTTTTTTTTGCATCTTCCCCATGCACGCAGAGCCTAGGGGTGAATGACTTCATCAGTTCATATGCAGACTTAGAGATCCCCTTCAAAGCTCCTATGACCAGAAAGATTTCTCTCAGAAAGACAGGTTTCAGTGCCCACCCCCCTCCCTCCCTTCTGTTGTACAATTCTGTGCATCTGGAGCCATCTTCAGGGCAAAGCAGCCAGAAAAAAGAGATGGAAAAAAATAACAGGGATTTTGCCTACAGTCTTCAGATACCTAGGGCCCCTTTTTCTGGTACCTTTGGTGAGAGCCAACCTTGTCTTGGGGTTTTAGGTAGCTGCCCTGACCCTGTGCTAGTAGTGCAGCCCCTGGCCTGTGTACCTTCACAGCTTGGATTCAGGTGAGAAGAAAGAGATAGAGAAAAAGCAGACTCCCTCATGCAGGGTAACCTGGTCCTGGTCCTCTGTCTACCTCTAAGGATCTTCCTCTCTAGTTTCTGTTTTTAATGCCTGCCATGAACATGTGTGATTCACTCCCTACCCCATATTTCAAAATTGGGAAGAAAAGAGAAATAAGAAACTCATCCCTTTTATGGGTCATTATTCAAGTTTTGTCTCCATTCAGTCTCCTTCTCTTACACCTTGACAGAGTCCTCAGGTAGCTGCTTCTGGTATTCTACCTGGAGTCTAGCTGTAATCAGTGAGAGAGGGGCTCGCTCCAACTGAGCCAGCACCGAAGCCCAAGAGCTCAGGTACTCACTTGAGAAGACGACTTAGAGCTTCTGCTATGACTAGGGGGTGATGTGTTCTAAGCTGCTGTTCAGCCAGACTCCCCGAGCCCTAGAGTCTTATTTCTGTCTACCAGCCGAGCACCTTCCTCTTGATAGCCTGTAAGTTAGTCATAACTAGTGTGCCTACACTGAACTCATTGCCTCATGAGTCTTCCCACACTGCAGCTCACAATCTCTGTCTCATTCAGTGGTCCATGGTCTACCTGGTCATCCCTCAAGGACTCAGCCCTCCTCTCTGTCTTCATTTAGCTGTGAGTGGATTTTGATGATACCACATCCTCAGACCTCTAAGGGTAACCCCTCCTCTCTTCCTGCCCACTCTTTTCCTGCTTCAGACCCTTGGCCTCTTAGGACAATTTGTCTTCCATATAAGAGTTTCCTCGCTAGGCAAGAACCTGGTCATTTAATTCTGCTACTTAAAATCCTTCAATAACCTCACAGTGATCAAGCACCTGAGCTGGCCCTGGCAGCCTGGCCCCAGACAGCCCTTGGAGCCAGCCCTCCTTTCCCCTCAGCCTTCCTGTGCATCCCCCACATTGAATAGCTGCCATTCCTGAAGCAAGCTTCCTCCTTTGTGCCTCTCTGCCTTGGCATCTGCTGACATGCTCGCCTGCACTGGCCTCCCTTCTAGCCCAGTCTCCTCACCAAACTTGTCTTCATCCACCATTCTCAGCTCCCACCGCACTGCCTTCGTCAGGCGTCCCCGAGTCCTTGGGACTAGAACACGTTGCATACACTTTCACGATGGCTGTGTGTCCTAGGTAGTGCCACCTTCACAGCTCACCTCAGTCACTACTGTGTGAACTCACCATGTTCAGCGATTCTTACTTCTCTTCCTTACGCAGACACACCAAAAAATCTCCCTCTCAACCCCACACTCCTCTTTACTCACTGTCTGCTATATCCAGGCTCCACTTCCCAGCCATCAGTCCCACATCCTCATGACCCACTCTCTCCCTAACTTGTGTCAGAGTGGCTTCCAACCCACCACCCACCACTGTGAAAGCAGTGCCTTGGTGCTGCCACCCCATCAGGTGCTTTATTGTGCTTTGGTTTCCAATGCTGCAGCATTTGAAAATACACACATGGAGTGCCTGGGTGGCTCAGGCTCTTGATTTTGGCTTGGGTCATGATCTCCCAATTCGTGGGATCAAGCCCCACTTGGGGCTCCACTCATTGTGGAACCTGCTTGGAATTCTCTCTCTCCCTCTCTCTGCCCCTCCCCTATTCTCTCTGTCAAAAACAAACAAACAAACTTAAATAAATAAATAAACAAACTTAAATTTTAAAAGATTGAAGGGGCTCCTGGGTGGCTCAGTTGGTTAAGCTTTGGACTCTGGATTTCAGCTCAGGACATGTTCTCACGGTTCGTGAATTAAGCCCTCCTGTCGGGCTCTGTACTGACAGTATGGAGCCTGCTTGGGATTCTGTCTCTCTCTGATCTTCCCCCATGTGTACTCTCTCTCAAAACAAATGAGTAAACTTAAAATTTTTTTTAAATTTTAAATTAATAAGTAAACATAAAAAAGAAAATATACACATGACGTGTAAGATCGATCACACCCCTCTTCTTGAAGCTTTCTCTGCCTTGAAGTTTTTGCCACCATGTTCTCAGCTTAGCGTCCTATCAGGGCTTGCTCTCTGGCTTTGACACATCCCTCCTCTGCTGGGCCCTGTGATGTCAGACGCCGTTCTTAGTTCTCCGTTCCTCTTCTCTTTCTTAAACCTGAGGAGCTTCTCCCGTCCCTTGGCTTCACCCACCTCCCAAATTCCAGATATTCGGCTCCTTACGTGGTTGCCCCGCATGCACCTTACATTCACTCTGCCTAAAGTCGAGCTCATAATCTTTACTCTACACCCATTCTTCCTGCTACATTTCTCATTTGATAAGTGATACTCAATTGAATATGCTATTTCTTCCACAAAATAATAATTTGTGATAAGTGAATTGATAATTATGATTTATCAAACGCCTGCTATGAGCTAACACTGACATAGCCATGGTGCTATGTCAACCCAGGGTGCAGAGAAGCAAAGAAACCTGTTGTGGCG